AAGAGAGAGAGAGAAAGGGGGCCCACTGAGGATGTTTGCCCCAGTGCCCGTGCTGGCTATCGATGTTCCTGATTCTATTCCATTGTTGCATTGAATAGTCAGATTCACAGTACTCAGAACATCAAGGTTAAAAGAATCTCTGACCGTTAAAACCTTCCAACTGGAAATAAATGTCATGAATTCTACATATTAATTACAATATAATTTTTGCAAAATGTTTTTACCCCATTGCACAAAGTAACATTTTGAGCTACTATTTATGGACTATTTTGTTTTTTACAAATTTTGAGGTTAACTCCTGTCACTTTTTTGGTTAACACTCTTGTGGTTGAATATTTATAGTTATTGTTTTTTTCTTTTTCTGGGACCAGTTAGCCTTAGTTTAACTGATAATATCTAAAAACCTGCAGGAATTAAATTAATATTTTAGGCTTAGACAGCCAGTTAGAGGTAATGCTTTGCTGCAATACAGTTAAAAAGTTGTGAAGAAATATATATATTAAGTAAATATATGAAGGTTTATTTTCTTAAAGTTATATAAGTTTCAGAAAGTTATATTCAGCATTTTATAAACACCTAATTCTCAAACACTCTTTTATTTACTGTTAAACTTCAAATATCAACATGTTAGAATATAAACTAAATTTGTCAGGTGATAAACCAAATCACAGAATTCAGAGACTGAATCAGAAGTCTGCTTTCCAAGCTAAAAGTAGCTAGAAAATTGCCAAAAAAAACAACAAACAAACAAACTTGTTTTATAGTTATTCTTGCAATCCCAAAGTTTGTAATAAGGCTTAACAATTCAAGGATTTTTTTTTTTAAAGAAAGAGAATTAAATAACCTTCCAGTTATAATTGTTTCACTAATATTGATTGCAATATAAGACATTTCTGATAATGAACATGAGAATCCTGCACTGTAACCAGCTGTGAAATGTAGTTACACGCTATATCAGCTACTGTTTTACTGATCACATCACAATCGGAAACCATTGATTGCCAATTATTATAGCACACAATCGGCCGGAACCTAATTATGTACAGTAAAGTTGATGATGTAGTATTGTTGACAGTTTACTAATAAAATTGTAATGGCCACAGAGAATGTACTTTGAAGCTTCATTAAATACAGAATTGTTGAAGTTATCAATAAATGTGCCATGCAAGAAAAATAGAAATCACAATCGCTTTTCTATTTTTTAATTGAACAAGTGAAAAATAAAAATGGAAACTGATCTTTATGCTTGTATGTGATTGACACATAACATTATGTGACCATATTGAGATATTAACAAATTGTTGAGGTTCATTACCTAAATCCATCATTCACTTCAGTCATAAGTTTGAAGACTTTTGCTATCACTCTGCACATTTTGAATTAAACCACTTCCTAAACCAAACGAAGTATTTCAATCAAAGGTTAAATAAAGTGACAACATTTGAAAGTTTTCATTCGTAAAGAGAGAAATCTCCAAATCGGTTACCAATCAGTAATCACACTTGTCTAGCCACAACTAACTTTAAGGTAACTTCTTGGAACTATGCATATTCATAAGTAACAGGACTGTCAAATGATGAAATGGAATGTTCCATAGCTGTCCAATTATACAAATATTTACATAATAACTAACCTCATTATAAGTTGAAAGTGGTAAACAGGTACATACAAATATTTACGTAATAACTAACCTCACTATAAGTTGAAAGTGGTAAACAGGTACATACAAATATTTACATAATAACTAACCTCATGATAAGTTGAAAGTGGTAAACAGGTACATACAAATATCTACATAATAACTAACCTCACTATTAGTTGAAAGTGGTAAACAGGTACATACAAATATCTACATAATAACTAACCTTACCTGTTTACCACTTGCAACTTATAGTGAGGTTAGTTATTATGTAAATATTTGTATGTACCTGTTTACCACTTTCAACTTATAGTGAGGTTAGTTATTATGTACATATTTGAATGTACCTGTTTACCACTTTCAACTTATAGTGAGATTAGTTATTATGTAAATATTTGTATATATACCTGTTTACCACTTTCAACTTATAGTGAGGTTAGTTATTATGTACATATTTGTATGTACCTGTTTACCACTTGCAACTTATCGTGAGGTTAGTTATGTAAATATTTGTATATACCTGTTTACCACTTTCAACTTATAGTGACACCTCTTACAGTGTTATGGGAGTCAAACAATTGGCAAAATCTCCCTATTGGAAAGTAATGGGGCATTCCAAATTTCCAGTTGCTCTGTTGTCATGCATTCTTCAGTGATCTCCCCAGACAATGAGCTGATATACAGTGAGGTACTAACAGAGAGGCATATCATCCCGAGAACTTCACGGGAAAGTTTGCATAGATCTCTGGCAAGTACACGGTGTGTATTAACGCTGCATAGGGTGCTGTCCTTGACCGTTTGCTAATGTACGGTTGTTATAGAAATGGATGTGCTCAGCATTGTTTTTAACCATTCTTTCATTCAGTGTATCAGTGTGAATAAATGAGAAACATAAAGAGATTGTTTTAATTGATGATATTTTATTCTATGGCTAATAATGTTTTGTGTGAAAAGAAAAAGGAAAAAGTACAGGGTTGTGATTGTAAGCATACTTACAAATCAGAAGATTGTTGTTGTGAATAAAGTGGTCTAGTTGATGTTATTTTCAAGTTATCAGGATTGTGTATTTACTGAGTTAACTCACACTAACCATTCAATTTTTTAGTGTCTACCTATTTGAATATTGTATTTATATTCATTATTTCAACAATTAAAAGACCATCACCATGATTCAGTAATGCCTGAAGTAGGTGTTTGTAAGTTTATAAAAAATGTCAACAATGTGGTATTAAATTAATCTATCTTTTTTTGTACTTATTTAGCTCTTCTGTACCGGAGCCATGTGAACTTCAAGAAGCTCTTGTAGATTTGGGAATTCAATTAAATCCCTGTGTGTTTGACATCAGACCTTGTGGAGATAACGGCTTTTGTCAGTTGCATCACTTTAGGCAGTTTTACTTTAGTTCCTGTCACTGCCAAGGAGGTAAAATGTTTTCTTTGTGAATTTAAGCAGAGTGGTTTAGTATTGTCACAGTTCTGCTGAATGGTATTGTAATACTAGTTATCTTGAAACTGTGGGCTGTTTGTGATTTGGTAGATTGATATTTAAGGTTTCTTGTGAACTGTAAAAACTATTATTATGGAATTAGCTATGAACTATATTAGATTAGGATTTACATTAGCTTATCACCTGTAAAGTTGAGGATTTACAGGTGACATTAGTAAGGTTAGTTGTACACTGGACATAGATTCCCGGTGAATCTTGTAGAATTATGTCTATTTTTTGGCGAATGAGGTGTAAAAACCATTTGTAAACATAGTAATATTTTGAGGTTAATCAGGGCTAAAATTCTGTTGGAAAACTAGTAGTTTTGTTTTTCCTTTTGGACAAATTTGAAAGAGAATTATTACTTAGTGGAGAAACAACAAACCAGTTATGATGTTGCATTACATTGGGTTTTAAACTTTTTGGTTTAAGTTTTACATAATGTAGTATCTGAAAGTTTAACACTGGGTAAGTGTTTTAGTGGTATTTGTTTATGTACTAAGTACTGACAGCTTTGGCCCCAAATCTTGTTCTGTGATATAATACTTTGAGTGAAAATGGAATGATACATCATTCCTGGTTGGTTATTTTTGTCTCCAATGACTAGAAACTTTTACAATCAGTTTTATTTTTCTCAGTGAGTTTGGAATTACTCATATTTTGTACCTCATTTTATTTAAATTAATTTTATCATATGCACTTTGTATGCTTCCCCCTGGAAAGTAGTAGTTAGAGATTAAAAAACATGTTTATGAACAAGTTAGTTAAGACATTTTAAAAACAGTGAAACAGTTATGATGATTAAAATTTAAAGTAAGTCATCATGTTAGTAGAGCATTATGAAAGAGAAATACACTTCAAAGAAAATTTTACTGCTTGACAGCCAAGTATTCGGTTTTTTGTTGAACATATAAACTAAATTTGAATATATTTTTCCATTGTTTGGGTCAATTCTCCTTTGTCAAAGTTTTCAGCAGAATTAGTATGCCATTATCATAACATTTTAAAAAACAAGTTTTATAATACGTACAAGGGATTGATAAAGACATTTAGAGAAAAAGGCCATAACTTAATTTTGTCAGGGATACTGCCCAGAATTAACTGTGGGGATGAAGTTATAAGTAGGTCACTAGGGCTAAATGCTAGGCTTAGGTTAGTATGTAAGGATGAGCAGATTGATTGGTTGGACTTGTGGGATCAGTTCAGTGAAAGAAGATAGTTTTTTGGAATGGATGGTTTACATTTAAATAAGATAGGGGCAGGCTTGTTTGCTATAGCTATTAACTCAGCTGTAAGGGAAGTTTTAAACTAGGACTAGACAGTGCTGAGGGCCAGGAAAACTAAATGAAAAAAAAAAGAGGCAGAGAAACGTTTAGCATAGGAAATGAGTATAGTAGTAGTTATAAGGATAGGTTTAATTGTTACTATTGTAATATTAGAAGTATAAGAAATAAAATAGATTATCTTAGAGCATTGGTAGGAATGGAGGATTTTTAATATAATGGGAATACTGAAACATGGTTAAACATAGATAATTTTGATGACAGAAATTTCTTTGAAATACTGGGTTACAGGCTATTTAATAGGGATAGAGTATTAAATGGGGGGGGGGGGGGGGCTTTGTATGAAAAATGGGATATTTTTGGTTGAAGTTGAAGATGTCAAAGATAATAGCAAAGAGATGGAATCCATTTGGGTTTCTATTAGTGGATATAAAGGGAAAAGGCTTTT